GTGGGTGGGTGTGTATGACTTACTAGTTTGCACTGCAGGCTTCCCTCTAATGAATGACAGCTGAACTGAGGCTTAATTTTACAATGTGTCATCCACCCTAAATCATCTGGCTACACACACACACACACACTCACATTCACACATGTACACTGTGACTTTCAGTCTCTCTTTCTTCTCTATGATTTTCCTGTTCTTTCCTTTTTCCTCCTTTTCCCTCCCTTTCCTGTTCCTCAGCATCTTTTGATCTCCCTCCTTCCTTTCTTCCTCCTCCCTCTGCTTTCTCACTGCCCTGTTCCATCCCTTCGGCACTCCTTCCTTTCTCTTTGCTCCCTCCTTAGCCCCCTTCATAGAAACTAATTTCCCCGGTATCATTACAGTTCTTTATGACCTCGTATAAACTGAGAGCTGTTATTCCAGCTCGGAGGCCTGGGCATAAAGCTTTAAGCTAGGGGATTTGCCTTTGGTAATGGCTACTAAAATACTTACTTCAATGAGCTGCTAATAGACACACTTCTTTGCTTCACCAAAATTGCTTGCAGGTCTGTTTTCCACATGACAGGAGTACTGGTGTGCTTTTACGAGCTTGTTTCTTTAGGTGTGAGACTATGTATTCAGTTTGGATCGCGGCTCAAAGGGAACTTTACAACTGTCACTCCATAAGCATTCTTCACTACTGTAAAACTGCATTTAATCGTAGTGCATCTACCAAACATAAAGCTCAAGTTATTACGTGTTATAAATGGCAGGGCTTTTTATCCTTAACTTATCTCAAGTTGGGTTGCTGAGCATGCTCACAGTACTTAACATTTACTCAGTCATGCAACATTACAACTACTGCCCTGTGTGTGCTGGCTGGCACTGTGCAGCGTCAGGGATTCAGTTGGTAATGTTACTGTGGCTGCTAGCGTGCTTATCCAAATCAATATTTTGTTTCGTTGTAAAGCTTTGCCAGATGTGTATACTTGCTAACAACAAACACATCTTTTACCTTTTCTTGTTTTTCAAGCCCTATAGAAGATCTATAAAAAATCATGAATTGCCCCATGGATGCACACTTTTGCAAGGGCACCTAGCCAAATGTAATGTCTTTTAGTGATGCTCACCTAACAAGATAACACAAAGAATTGGCTATATAAAGCGGGAAATTCAGGGGACGAATGTTTACATTTTTAATCAAGAAAATGATTCTATACAGAGACCCATACAAAGGCTAGAAAATATATTTAATTTATGTTTTCACTCTTCACTCAAGTCTGATCTTTGCACCATTAATAAATAACCGCGGTTCATCTTTTTTTATAGTGCCATTTTGATGTCTTTATGTCTTTATTGGCCTAATATTGATCTTTTCTGAGATGATAACGTCGCATGGTACAATTTCACTTTATATTAGTTTATCTTTTAGAAAGGGTTTAGATTCAGTGTGTGCCTGCGTGACATAGAACGATGGGGCAGAAGAGGTTACACAGGCTAATGTATCTACTTAGCTCCAGTTCAGAGGCTATAAGGCACCCATATAACCTCATGATCCTTATTTCACCAGGATAAACAAACTGTTTACATGTATCAATGCTGAACAAATAAAGTGTGAGAATAAACACAAGGCTGAATAGAAAGAGACAGTTGGACAGAGGGAAGAGGAAATGAAGTGCATTTGAAAAGCAGATGCATTCACATATATTTTTGAGTCATCTGCAGGTTGAACATAGTCTTTAAATGCTCAGTGACCTCTTGTTGAGAACCGACAAAACAAAGCCCTGTGAAGGAGCTTGTCATTGTCAACCATCAAAGCCCCGTGTGTGATATATCTTTTCTAAAGGAAATGCTCTTTTGAAATGTTTGCATAAGAACAATGCGTAGATTTGTTATGAATTCATTTGATTTCCAACCGACATGTGGCATTAACCTAAACCGCCTTTTCAAGGACAGTTATACATATCTAATTACCTGTTCTATGGGGATAAATGAGCATCATTACACCCCTTGTGTCCTCCTCATCCTCCTCATCTGCCCCCTCTTTCCTATGTGCCCCCACCCCCCGTTTCTGACTGCTGCTTTACAATCAAACAAGGGAGCACTGCAAGACCTGCCACTTATGAGACATCAGACACAGGTCAACGGGTCAGTCTTTTAGCGCCCTACCTCTGATCCAACCATCCATCTGGCTATCCCGCACATCCCTCATCTGTGATGTGTTTTTTTTTTCTATCATCATCCAACCGTCCATCCATCTCCCTTTCCCTCCATCTATCCTTGCCTTTCCTCCAGCATGTTATAATGGGCCGTTAGGATAGAAGGATTTATGTCCGTTTGTATTTATGAAGGATAGAAAAGAACAAAGGAAAGAGAGATTGGGAAAAACAGGAAGGAAAGGAGGAGGGTAGTCAGTAACTAGAACATGTGGTATAGTGATGTGTCTTTCTGTGTGTATGCAGGGTTGCCCCTCACAGCAGTTGGCCTCTCTAAACTCTGTAATTGAGATGACAAAATAGGACAGCATTCTCCAGTTTTATTCAGCAACTCAAGTTAGCTATTTTATCTCTTGCTTCCCATTCATGGTCCCCTAGGCCCTGAAATTGAATTTGGCTTTGGGTTCACTACTAGAGTGATTCCATGCCGGTAGTGAGATTATTTCTTGAGTCATGCATGGCAGTCAGGGGTCCTGTGCAGTTTTAGAGGCATACAAAATGAATATACAAGTCATGACACATTCCAAGTTCTTTCCAAGGGAAATGTAACACCCTAATGGTAATTGCTTATTCCTGAAAGGACTATGTTTCGCTATATACCGATAACTTTATTCTCCCTTGGCCTTAATCATTAGAAATAATTGTCGTATCAGAATGAAACCAATCCTTCCCAGGCGTGAGCTAAAGATACATTACTGTCGAGCCTTTTTCCAGTCAGTAAAGTTGCATATCTTCAAAACGTGCTTATTTTTCAGCGTGAGCATGCATGGTTAGGTTCCCGTTGTAATAGCCTGCCAATTTGTGGATACTTAGAATATGTTGTGTGATTGGCACATTACTTGTTAGATTGCATAATTGTGTAGTTTTTCACAGCACATGGGTATGATTCTCATTTCTATTTACAGTAGTTCAGTGTTTTTACTTTTATTTGGATAGAGCATAATAAAGTTTCAAACAAAAGGCAACACATTTGTATTGCTATTAAAAAGGTAATGCAGTTAAAATACAATCAAAAAAGTCATCCTTTAGCCATCATCATTTTAAGTGTTCATTAATGTGCATTGTCCCTGCTAAATAAACAATTAAATGAAAATGAAATCATTTCTTAACTTACTTCTCTCCCACATTATACATTTATTGAAAAAGACTTCTGATAAAATGTTATCAACAGCAGCTAAAGAGCAGGCGGAAATGTGAAGCCTAGATTTGAAAGGAAGTATTAATGAATAGATGAACTGATCGATCAGTCAACAGATGGAGCAACGGTTATAGAGCAAACAATAAAAGAGCTCTCCTGAATTTTAAATCCGTGTTTAAAGGACCAGAGATGGAGACACAGATAGCTAGCTATAAGAGAGCACGGCCGAACACGCGTTAAGTCCCAGCTGTATTCCATGAGGGAAGTTTTTCTAATTTCCTTGCTTGTACTGGGATATTACGACCAGTCACGCCTCACCGATTGGCTCTTTGTCCTCCTCTGGGGCAGATTGTCGTTTTTATCTACCAATTGATAGCTACGCTTCCTGCCCTGAGCCCACCCTCCCAGGAGACCCATGTAAAGCGGATGAAAACAGGAAGACAATTCCATCCCTCAACGCCTCCATCTCGCACACCCTCTAGCTGGTATTCTATTAGATGGTTGGAGAGGAGAGATTACTGCATCTCAACGGCTGGACATCACTAGCTATTAGCTATTTGACTCTGCTATCGGTTTTCATGTGCTATCTCTACTGAGTAATACGCTACTAAATTTGGAGTTGTACAATATGCAGGTGACCAAAGATCTCAGTGAAATAGGCCTCTTTTATTTTATATCCCCTTGTTCCTGTCGGCCTGCATTAGTTCCTCATGTATGAAATATCTTGGTAGTATCAGTGGAGTTTCCTTCAGAAAGAAATATCATGTTCTTTCCTTACTTCCCACTTTGTGCTTTCATCTTCCCCCTTAACTGAATGAATGTTCACCTGATACCAGGGGTTAGACTTTTATGCCATTTAATGCACCTCCAAGCCTTTTCATTTATGTCTCTATTTACCATTACTTTATGAAATTGTGTCTGCTCTGACATAGTATTCTGCCCTATTCTGATTGGATGAGACAAGTCTAACAAAGGCTTTTTTTGACTAGTTGAACTTTCAAAATTGAAGTGATGCGACCATCCATACAGTCCTTTTTACCGTTATCTCCATGTTCCTTAATTGTTTACTCACAAACACTGTGAATAATCAGCTCCAGCTGTTGGTTCTTTCAAGCAAAGATAATCCGTTTTTTCAATTTAAACAGGACAGCTAAATTATACTTAACTTGGAAGTAATTTTAATATGCATATGCTTACATCTGGGCACCGCTTCACACATAGGCCCTGCTGTCACATGTACAACAAGTAAACTTAAGAGAAAAGGTAACAGCGGAAGTAAACTAGTCTCAATAGGAATATGCATTAAAGAGATCTTTGTCGTTTTCAGGTCACTCAGTTCGTCTGCTGGGTCAGAAGAAAGATGGAGGCCGGAGGCTCGGAGGCGCAAGACTGGACCTGCCCAAAATCAGGAAGAACCCTCTCATCGAGATCATCTCCATTAACACAGGGTAGGATACAGACACACACAGAGAACACCACCCATAAAATATTCAGCTTTAAGTGTGAATTCAATTTCACTGCTTCCCTGCCATTCCGCTTTATGGTGTCTGTGCTCTCTCTCTCTTTGCACAGCCACTTAAACAGAGCCCCTCTGTGCTTCTAATTTGATCAATTTCACATGGCTTCTCTGGGATATGATTGTGTAGTACGGTGTTTTTATGTGCATGTGCTCATAGTGCAGTTTGTTATTCAAATGTATATATAATGGAAACCCAACAGGTGACAAGAGTTTTGTCTCTGCTTTCCTTTCAATTATATTATGACAGAAGGAAAAGAAAACACACAGCTACCGGTACATAAATACACTTCTTTCCTTCGTCCCCTTTTTCTATCAAAGCTGTGATGTTATGTATTCTTGTGTTACAATCCTTTGGTGTTTTGCCTGTTAGGCCCCTGTCAGTTTATTCAAAAACATTTCTGTCGTGTCTACAATGTTTATAGTTTACCATAAAAAGTGATGAAGGAAGGAAATAAGATTTTATCGTCTAGTGAGATAAATAAATGTAGATATTCTCGTTAAATACTATAGATACATAGGTAGAAAGACTTTACCAGGTTAATATGTGTGGATGCTCCAGCACACACACCATAACCCACATCTAGGCTCACATTTTTATGGGCTAATTTCATGTTGTTTACAGATCTGTGTGTCTCTACTAACCCACGTGCTGTATTCTCAGAGCGCTAGTTAAAAAGGTTACGACAGGCTAATTCCACTGTGCCCGGCCCCTCCATTGATGATAATCCATCAATCATCCCCCTGTGCTTCTTCAATGTTGGTACACTCATGGTATGACTCACTAAGCAAAGTAAATAACTTGTAGACACGCTAGTGGAGATTACAGCTATAGCTTTCTTGGTTTAAATAAATAATGTTTTGTTCCCAAGCTTTTAAACAAGCTGTCAAGTAAACACGTTTTAGTTTTTCTAAACACCATCTCTTAAGTTCAAGACATGGTGACAATAAATGTTATTCATTCAAATTGTTTGTTATATCGGGAACATTATGGATGAAAAACAAACATTCAAGTCCACCATAAGCAGAGATCTAATCCCCAAATTATACTTTAGTCTAACTTTCATTCATAAGAACATTGTGTGGAGATCTTCTTCTAAACTCATGATACTCCCAGCCTCAAAAACAATATTAAACCACTGTGTGGTTTCCGAAAGAGCCTACTGCCCTAGATGTTTGTGGTCTGTACATCTCATCTCTTCTTAGATTACACTAAACCTTAAACTCCTTGAACAACTGTTATCCAACTGTATCAGCCGTCATTTGTCAGATAAACTTACACTTTTGAGCAGCAACAAATGTGGCGTGTTTAAAATGAAACTTGGAAGCTTTGTGAACCAACAAAAAACCTTTTAGTTCTACTGTACCTCGTATAGGATGACACTGCCAATTGTATTCACTGCCCCCTGTTCATTTTGAATACAATTTCCTCCAGTGCCAAATAGTTTATTATTGTATTTATAAATAGCTACATCAGATGCCGGCACACTGTCTTTTGGCCCTGATACATCCTCAGTGTGTCATTTTGATAATTGTTTTTGAATAAGAATCAGAAATCCCTCATTCGTCCCACATCAGGGACATGTGTCACGACAGGAACATGACAGTAAAGATTAAAAGCAAAACATAATAAATAGAAATATCAAACACGTGTGTAATAGAATCTAATAAGTAAACTATGGAATGTTTTTTTAAACCTCATCTCACTCTGTCTGGATTAACCTCAAATCACGTTTACATTTAAACATCACATTTCTTTGCTTTATGTGCTTATGTACTGTCTATTTCTGTGTGTGCTTTGGTGCGACTTTCAGTCTGGATGTGACCGGTTTATATGCGTGTGCAGATGTCAGTCCCTTGCCAGCCTCTCTACAGGGGGTCTGTATCCGATCCAAATGAACTCACTGGTGTTTTTCGAAAGGGTCAGGCTGGCTGCAAATAAATCCCTTTGCTGTTACTCTTTTAACTGGAACTCTAAGTGCGGGGATTACACAAACATGTTGACTGGTTGAACGGGATGTTGACAAATCTCTAACACTGGTATTACTAAAAGTCCAAGCTCAATGTGTGCTTTGAATATGTCCGTCAGTCATTGGTGTCACTAATTTCACATTTTTGACATTCGATTTATCTTAATGTGCGCATGTATTAAGGAAACTAGAGAAAGAGAATGTGCTCTCTCTGTTTTTGCTTATAGATGATCTGTTTTCAAAATTCCTCAGAGGCAGTCGTGACATCATTGGTGACATTTGTCCGCTGAAGAAACAGAGAGATCTTTGTCTGACATAATAAACAGACACACGCACAACATCAGTTGTAGTTCCTTTTTAAACTGCTTCTGCGTCAGAAGAGAATATTTGAAAGTATGAATGTGTGTCTGGCCTTTAATGTCTCCCATTAGTTGTCAGTTTGTCTTTTTGTGACCATGAGGGATGCATCCCTTTGCTTTCTAACCAAAAGTAGCGTATACCTGCTGCAGGTAAGTGCCTTCACACATTATCTGGGGGTCCAGGAAAACTCTTAAATCATGAATAAATAAATATGAACATGTTTTATATGAAGTTTTAATACCTGTATTTTCTTACTATTAATGAAATACATGGCTGGCAGTCACTATACAGCATTATTATTGTGAGCATGTTAGCCAATAGCATAGCTGTATATACAGTTTTTCAAAAAAATCCTTTTCAAATGAAGTATAATGTCACCTAGCATGTTGCTAATATCAGTGATATCTAGTAGAACCCAACAACAAAAGCAGAACAGGATTTGTTTCAAGCAATACAAAATGTTTTAAACATGCAGACCCTGTTGTTGAAGTCAACCCTGCCCATCATAATATAACCCATTAACTCTTTTGAAATGACTCTGCACAGAGTCATTTCAGCCTGCGTCTGACAGATGAACCCAATGTGTCACCTCCTTTTCTTTTTCACAACAGCCTGGTGTACAGTTTCACCTGGGACTACCTATGAAAATGTAATTTCATGTTCAAATTGATTCACAATATTAGTTTCATTAAGTTGCATATTAATTTCATTTGGACCTATTAAATCCAAATTAGATTGGCTTTTTCCCCTCACCCAGTTAATTTTACCCCAATCAGAAAATAATTTCAACATGGTCCAGCTAGTCGTCAAATGCCCTCTGGCTTTGTAATTAAGGAATTTGTCAGGTTTCTCCTGGGCCATTAGCACAGTTATTTTGAGTAATCTTTACCTGACACATGAGCAAATGCCCTGATTATTTCAATGAAAGTTGTGTCCAAAAGCAGCATTTTGCTCCAATTACATACATAGACTGTTAACTATTTTGGTTCATTACAATAATTTGGCGATTGCGTTTTTGGACTACACTGTGATTTATTTATTTAATTACAGACACGGTGAGTATTGCATAAATATTATAGATGTGAAGGACACATATTATAACAATAATGGAGCAGCGGAGGGCAAAATAGACTATGAATGAAAGATAAATACACCTATTGTTGTTTTTTTTAACATGGGATTGAATCTGACAGTGTTCCTTTTTACTCCACCATACCTGAGCTCTTGTTCATGTTCTTCAGCAGCTGAGTGTTGTAGCTGTTGAGTGTGTTTTATTTAATTGGCTGACTTTCTAATCGCCGGCATTTAGTTTTGGGTTGGTTCTCATGTTGTGTCTTCTTTATGCAAACACATGAGCCTGAGGGCAGAGTTCATTTTCCATACAGCCTCAGACTGGAGAAAGACTCCACTGTGTTTCTAATGCTCCGTTTTGTGTCCCAGTTTTAGCACGCTTGATACTATTAAGGGAAGCTGGTTTGTGTGTGTGTGTGTGTGTTTTGCCCTAGGCTACACTAACGGTCCCCTTTTGCTCTTTGTATATGTGTGTGAATTGTGTATGTGTGTGTTGTCAGCAACATTAAAAGCCCCTTTGTGAACAAGTTGAATCATGATGCTTCGGTGTCATAAACAAGGAATTTACAGCCACTCAGTCAGAATGGCTCATTAAACTTTTGTGTGTGTGAGAGTGTGTGTGTGTGTGTTTATTTGTGAGTCTGTTTGTGTAAACCATAGCCATTATACTCCAGGCATTAAAAAAGCCCTTTGTTCCACAGTTACAGCTCATTTCATTTCATTATCAGCCTCTTCCCTCCACTCAATTTAGTCACATTTTTGGCAGTCCTAATCTGTTATTGTTATAGCAATATGCTAAAAGTCAGGTGTTAATGATCCTCTGCTGTAAGCCCAAACCAATAACCAACTTCATCACTCATATCCTCCAGGCAGGCAGGCAGGCAGGCAGCAAGCAGGTAGACAGGATGAAGTATTGCTGGCAGGCTGACTGCTGCCTAATGTTTGATTACTGGCAGTTCTAATTTCTAATAGATAGTTTGAGGTTTAATTAATGATATTAAGGCCTGTAATGCTGTGTAAATATAACATTTAACTTCAAACCATTTAGATGTATCGTTCCTGAACAGTTTCTTGTAAAACCAACAAGTTGTTGAGTTCTTTTGTGTTAATGTTTCCCTTAGCCTCCTCCTGCACATCATTCCCAATCAAATGCTTTCAGGGTTAAACTTAACTTAAAGGGCGACAAAGACACATGCTGCCATCTCTTGATAAAAGCAAACATTGAAGGGTTGAATACATAATACATTTCAACAGTCCTGGTTTTTGTAATAGGAGAGTAGAAATGTCTTTGAGTTAGTGGCCTCGCCTATCCAGGGAGTATAAAAGATAACCTTGGAGCCCACACAGTATTTGATCCTCTTTGCTTTGTTCAGCTCCTTCTATTCATTTCACCCTTTTTTAGCTTCTGACACTAATAGAAACATATTTATTTGCTTAGCGGAAAGCTAATTTAATCTGGCCATAAGTCCATGTTCAACACTGCAGGATGCCATTGTCCTTTGAAAAGATGTTTAGAAACCGTTTAAACATA